AGCTGCTAATTATAAATACTAGTCACTTATAGCCCTTTGCAGCCAATTCAAGCCAACCAGAAGAGGAACAGGTCCCTATAGCCAATAATAGCCAATGCAAGCAAACCTTGTCAAGGATAGGTGCTATAGGCAAAAATATCCAGTCGAAGTCATTCAAATCTTTACATGCTCCAACTGCGTAAATTGCTAAAAATAATTGCTGATACCCATGTATAGCCATTTCAAGCCAAACTAATAAAAATAGGTGCTTACATTCAGTTTTAGCCATTTGAATTAATTTTGTCGTTTCGTTGCAGCTGCTGTTAACGTTCCGAGTGCCGTCCTGTCCATCGCTATCGGAAAACGTCAACACCGTCATCGGAGGCAACGTTTCGTCGGCGACATCGGCAGTTACAGCTGTGAACAAGTTTCCGCTATCGCTTGGCCACTCCCCGTGTACTGGTCAGCATGTGACCCCCATGGTGCAGTTTTCGTTCGGACCCCACCAGTTACAATCAGGAGCCACTTCGACCTCAGCGCCACAGGGTAGAGAAGCGGCAGCATCCTTCAACTTCGCCAGTGCGCCTGACAGCAACTGCCGGATCAGGTCCTAAGTTTTTTGTCGTTTTGGTCAAGGTTAGTAAATTCAAATACTTCGAATTCACGAGCAACTTTTAGGGGCGAAGCTCCTTAGGGGCTAGCCATGTCCGTATGTCCGTCCGCCGTCGGGTGCACGTGCTCCTGCTCGTGAGCTCACGCGTTCACGTGCTCACGAGCACGTGAACACGTGCTCCCGTGCTCGTGTAGGGCAAAAAAACAACAAAAAAAAACAACAACCGCATCTCCACGTGGTGAATGATGTTGATTGGGGCGAAGCTCGGGTGGTGCTTGTCTGCGTAGACGCTGAGCCGCTGCATGCCCAGCTTTTCGTTCGTTTTCATTCATGCCATGCTGCTGTCAAATGCTCAAATGCGTATATAACAACGTTCCATACCACACATTCTCTTTCTGACATGGATGAAAACGAACGAAAGGCTCAGCACGCTGCGCCTCACCGTCTACGCAGACAAGCACCACCAGAGCTTCGCCCCAACCAACATCATTCACCACGTGGAGATGCGTTTTTTTTTGTGTGTGTTTGGTTCTGCTGCCAGGCCCCAGGACATGCTTTACGTGTATCTTCAATTTTTAGAGGTGTTTAGCGTTGTTGCTGCAGATGTCGAAAGTGAGGGACTTGGGCTGCTTCTACTACTTGGTAGGGATAATGAAACCAACCCTGGACCCATGGCCAAAGCGCAAAAGGAGTTACTCAACAAATTTTACGAAATAGTTGTAACGCTTCAGACCAGGCAAACCAACATCCTCCAGTGAATAAAAGACTTAAAGGCTAAGCAATATTCCATCGAGAAATCGCTGAGTAATCGCAGTGCACCCGTCGATCAGTTAGAGAGGGATATTTCTACTGTGAAATCAGTCAGCGTTAACAGGGACGTGGGTCCTTCCCCACAGATAGCCGCGGCTGCTGTCGAGATATCGGAGCTCAGGGCACGCTTCGATGACGCGGAGAGCAGAGCGCGGAGATCAAATCTTCTTTTGTTTTTTTTGGCTTCCCCGATAAGGATCAGGAAACATTGGCGCAGTCGGAAAAGACTGTTGTAGACGAGTGTCTCGAGAAGGTTAGGAGTTGTACTTGCATCGTCGCGTATCGAAAGGGCGCATCGTCTCGGTATGCATTCTCAGCAGAAATGTCGCCCAAGAATTGTAAACATGTTTTCATACAAAGATAAAGGGACCGCACTTTCTAAGGCCTGAAAGTTCAAAGGAACATCTGTTGCGGATTCCAGAACGCTATAGACCCTTTCCGAAAGTCAGTCTACCCACCTTGTGCAGAGCCAGACCCGACGCTCTAATGGCGGAACTACACTGTTTCTCCACACCAGAAAAATCGAACGGCTTCGAAAGCATACAGCAGAAAAAGGAAAAGATGCTGGTCGTTTCACGTCACCTTCGATGCACGAAATCGAGGGTGCTTGATTTAGCCGCGCATGATCTCCTATCACCGCCATTAGAGCGGCAATATTGGAGCTTTTCGGACTGCCACAAGAGGACTCTGACTTTTGAAAAGGGTCTATTTCCACCCCGGCTGTCGTCCTCCGAAGCACGCGCCGGGGAAACCCGAGCCGACATCTCCAGCAGCACGAGCGCGGCGATGGGGGCTGGGGTGAGGGCAAGACGGGAGAAGGAGAGAGCCGGACGCGCCTGAGTCGAACAAAGGAACTCGAACGGACGAAATCGCGATGACGCCGACTTCAACAATGACTGTATTTCTGTAATCGAGTTGATCTTATAGTTAATTTTTGTTTAATTGGGAATTCCTTTAATTAGTATATATATAGAACCGCGCACAGCTTCTGCCACAGAAACTATGGTGCCGAAACCCGGGAATGAACATCAAACGAGGTGAGCGGATTTGATCTTTGTGACCGCCTCACTGGAACGCTGTGAAAGAGCTGGGTGCGCGTTCGTGAACGACAAACGATGGAGCGGCTTAAAGAAAAACGTGGAGTCAAACGGGAGCAAACCACAAGGCTCATCAGCGAGGCGTCGGCGGGACTGGAGACAGCGGATCTGGCCACGGTGACTGCCTGGCGAGAATGAATCAGCGCATGCAACCAGTCGCTTCGGTCTCTTAATGCGGAGATCGAGGACCAAGTGCCACTAGAGTAGCTCGTCGCGGAATACGCGACTGTATCCGAATACGACGACGATACTACCAGAGTTCTAGCGCTGCTGGGCTGCAAGATTGCAGCGGTACGACAAAAGGAACTGCCAACGCCGGTGCCCTTGAACGAGACCAGATCGGCGACAGCTTCAGTACCTCCTCCCAAGAGGACAAGCGGAGTGAAGCTCCCGAAGTTGCGACTCCTGACATTCAACGGAGATTGGCAGCGGTTGGCAGAGTTTTTGGGAACAATTCAGTGGTGCTGTTCACAACAACGACAGCATCACACGATCGGAAAAGTTCCACTACCTTCGCACACTCGTCACCGGACCAGCTGCTGCCGCAATCGCAGGACTACAGGCCACGGAGGCCTGCTACGACGATGCCATCCACATCCTGACGCAGCGGTTCGGCGACAGGCGAAGAATTGAACAAGACCACCTGGCGAAGCTCCGATCTCTGCCGCCGGTGGCGTCCGCGAATGACACAAGGGGACTGAGGAGAATCTACGACCATGTGCAGACCAACATCCGAGGGCTAAGAGGTCTCGGCGTGGGATCGTCGACTTACTGCACAATGATCTCGGACATTCTTCTCAGGGCCCTACCGAAGGATATTGTGCTGGACTACCACAGGTGGCAGTCGGGCAACAACGCCTACAGGGCGTCCGGGACGTCGGAGAGAGATCCAACGTCGCCGAATGCAACAGGACAAGACGCCGGCCGCTCGATCGACTCGCTCTCCTCTGCACGGATCTGTCCCTCGCCGCTGCAATCCGAAGATGCCGAAGGTGAGCTCGCCAAGATTCTTGGGTTTCTTCGTGTAGAGGTAGAGAGCAGGGAGAGAGCCGGAATTGCCGCAGAGACTCGCCACCCGAGGCAGACCCCAGCGCGTGAGGGCTACATCGAACGGCGGGGACACACGACGTGGCCAACCGCAGCTGTACTGAACACAAACGCAGTCGGCTGCTTTTTCTGCCCATCTGCAAAACATCAAACTGAGTCCTGCTCTGGCGACCTCGTACTTGAACAGAAGAAAAGGAGGTTGGCAGAAGACATGAGGTGCTTCGATGCACAACCAGAGGACACCGCGCCAAAGACTGCCGACGGAAGGTGAAGTGTGCGTCATGTGAAGGAAGGCATACAAGCTCAATGTGTGACCCCAACTGGACCCCACCGACAAGAGTTAACACCAATCTCAACACCACAAGCGTCGTTAACTCCAACGTTACGATGGGCTCGGGTGTGCTTCTGCAGACTTTCCGAGCTTCCGCCGTAGGAAATCGTGCAATCAGCCACTTTCGGGGCGTCATCGACGGAGGAAGCCAGCGGACTTTCATACACACGGACGTCTCAAGAAAGCTGAATCTCCGAGTGATCGGTACTACGGACCTTCAGTTGAACACCTTCGGGGAAACGTCGACACGCGCCCAACGACGCAGGCTGGTTGAGGTGCGCCTTCGTAGTCAGCATGACGGAAAAGAGTGTGTCCTCGAGGCTATCGAAGTACCTTTCATTTGCAACGACATCCTGCCAGTGCCGGTGGACCACGACTTCGTGAGAAGCATCGAGGCTGACGGAGGACTCATCGCGGACATGACACCGACCCAAGGTACGGAGCCCCGACGTGGAATAAGTTTTCTTCTTGGATCGGACCAGCTTTGGAAGGTCACCCGAGGCGAGGTTCGTCGGTTCAGAGAGAATGAGAGCATGGTTGCAAGCGACACAATTTTCGGTTGGACCTTCCAGGGTCCGATTTCCTTGCACAGCACCCTGTCGGGTAGTACAAACACGATGGTTTGCGTTCTGAAGATCAGCACTCGGGCGCACGACGAAAATGAGGCGACACTCCGTCGATTTTGAGAGCTTGATAGCCTCGGAATTACGGACGAGCCGAAAACCAACAGCGAGGAACTGGAGGCTGTAAAAAGCCAGTTTGAACGCACAATCACGAAGGTAGACGGACGTTATGAAGTTGCATTGCCGTGGAAAGAAACTGGACAAGACCTCCAAGACAATCGAGTCATGGCTCACAAACGACTGGAGGGGCTCCTCAAACGACTATCCCGCAACGAGCAGCTTCTTGATGAGTACGACCGATCCATCAGGAACTACATGACGGCAGGGCATGCGGAAAAGGTGCCCGAGCGGGCACCTCAAGCTGACACTGAACGAGTTTACTTCATGCCGCACCAGGCAGAAGTACGCAGCTGCTCCAGCACCACGACACTCCGGATCGTGTTCGATGCGTCATCACATAGGCCGGGATGCAGCCCACTGAATGAACATCTGGAAAAGGGCCCCAAGCTTAACGCCGACCTGGTGGGAATCTTGGTTCGATTCAGGCTATTTCAGGTCGCCATCACAGCTGACATTCAGAAGGCGTTCCTGCAGATAGGCGTTCGCACAGAGGACAGAGATGCTCTCCGATTATTGTGGTTCGAAACGAAGCCAACATCAGGAGCAGCAGCAAACATCGAAGAATGGAGAATGACCAGAGTGCCGTTCGGGACCACCTCAAGCCCCTTTCTATTGACCGCAACTCTAATGCACCACCTGGATAACGTGAAGGACCAACACAGGGAGACAGCTGATCGTTTGCGGAATGCGTTCTGCGTGGACGACCTGCTTATCGGAGCCTCCGACGTTGGTGAAGCCAGACAGATTCACGATGAGGCCAACGCAATCATGGCTGAAGCCGGAATGCGACTCCGCAAGTGGACGTCCAATGCTGCGGAACTACAGTGTGGATTTGATGAGACCGAGGAACCACAAGCATCCCAAGAACCATGGAAGGTTCTCGGACTCGTGTGGCAGCACAACCAAAACAAATTGCTGATTCCCATGGAAGGAGTATTGCATTGCGTCAGCACTGCAGCAAACACCAAGCGTTTTGTGCTACAGGCATCGGCTCGAGTTTTCCACCCCCTGGGCCTTATAGCTCCGTACATGATTCGGGTCAAGATCATATTTCAGCAGCTGTGGGAACGTGAAATCAGCTGGGATGCGGAGCTGCCTGACGACCTTTCCGAGCTGTGGCAGCGGTGGTGCACCGGAATTGCCACTCTTGAAGGCTCTGGCCGTCGGCCGCTGCACCATGCGGTGCCCAGCAGAAGGCGTCAGGTCGGTTCAACTTCACGTGTTTTGCGACGCAAGCCTACTCGCCTACGGGTCGTGCGCCTACCTTCGAGTGGAGGGCGAAGACGGAGACACGTCTACATGCCTCGTGCTCGCGAAGTCACGAGTGACGCCGCTCAAGCGACTGACACTCCCTCGTCTAGAACTAATGGGAACGGTCATTGGGACACGTCTTGCCCGCTATCTGAACGACACAATGAACCTCCAGATGAAGACGTTCTATTGGACGGATTCAACTATTGCACTACACTGGATTAGAGGACAAGTTTAAAGTGGAAGCCGTTTTCTAGGAAACAGGGTGAATGAAATTCAGTCCGCAAGCGACCCCGCAAGCTGGAACCACTGTCCTGGAAGTCAGAACCCAGCGGACATGCTGACGAGGGGAATTAGCGCCGAGACATTGATCGAAAGCGAACAGTGGTGGCAAGGGCCTGAGTGGCTTTCAACAGAACCTTGCAACTGGCCTAAGGGTCAGGTATTCTACGACAGCATCCCAGAGGTGCAAAAGGAACGAAAGAAAGAACACCACGTGCTGCACACTGCGGAGGGGAAGGGGCCGGAGCTCCTAAATCTGAGCAGTTACAGTCGCATAATGAGACCCCTCAGGGTTACCGCCTGGATGTTTCGCTTCATCAAGAATAGCCGAAACGAGCTAGAACGGGCTGGGGGTCCACTTACTGCAGAGGAGCTCGAGCAAGCCGAGAATTACTGGATTGTGAAGGCTCAAGAAGCATACAGAGCGGAAATGGGCACCGCGGGTGGAACCCGAAGCACAAACAGCGTAACCGCGTTACTGAAGCCCTTTGTGGATGCGGATGGACGAGTGAGGGTCGGTGGAAGGCTTCAGAATACACAGACCGATGTGACAGTCAGACATCCCCTGTTATTACCGCCATCTCACCCCCTCACTGAACTTATTGTGAATGACGCGCACCGAAGGACGATGCACGGTGGCGTCCAAGATACCTTAAACGAAGTACGTGAACGCTACTGGGTACCACGTGTGCGTCAGCTCGCCAGGAAAGTAATAAACCGTTGCAACGCCTGCCGGCGAGCAAGACTGAGGCCAGCCTCCGCACCGACCGCTCCGCTGCCGGAAGAGCGCGTCAACCGGGCCTCCCCCTTCGAGGTGGTGGGAATTGACTTTGCTGGACCACTCCTGGTGAAGGCTTCACCGTCGGACCAAAAGGCCTACATCGCTCTGTTTACCTGCGCCGTCACACGAGCCGTGCACTTGGAACTCGTGTCCAACCTGACGACTGAGGCCTTCATTATGGCCTTTCAGCGGTTCACTGCACGTCGGGGACTACCGAGCGTCGTGTACACGGACAACGCCCTCACCTTTAAAAAGGCAGCAAAGGACTTGTGCGGCATGTGGGACGTGCTAAGGAACCCACACTTCCTCGACCACTGCTCACAAAATCGTATCAAGTGGAGGTTTATTGCCGAAAGAGCAGCGTGGTGGGGCGGTTTTTGGGAGAGGATGGTACAGACAGTGAAGCGGAGCCTACGAGTGATACTCGGAAAGAACAAGTTTGGATTCGAAGAAATGACGACCATACTACAAGAAGTTGAAGCCGTCGTAAATTCTCGACCCCTGGCTCCCGTTCACGACGCTCCACACGAGCAGGAGGCGTTGACGCCTGCGCACTTTTTGTCGGGGGGGCGGCTGACGGCGCTCCCATCGACCAGCGTGGAGAACGTGCCAGTTTCGACAAGGGGGGATGTCACCAGACGGTGGCGGCACCGACAAAGACTACTGGACCCGTTCTGGGGGAGGTGGCAAAAGGAGTACCTCCTCCAGCTCCGCTCAGCACACCCGGCAACAGAGACACGCACGAACGACCTGCGGGACGGGGATCTCGTCCTCGTCCATGAAAACAAAACGCCAAGGCTCATGTGGAGGATGGGGCGGATAGAACAAGTTCAGCGGGGTCGGGACAACCACGTGCGTTCGTGTTTGGTGCGCCTGCTTGGTAGGGTTACACTTCGGCGCCCCGTCCAGCTCCTCTTCCTCCTTGAACTATCCCTGTGAACGAATTCTGCTCATCGCTGGGGGGAGGGGGGAGGATGTTGCGGATTCCAGAACGCTATTTCCACCCCGGCTGTCGTCCTCCGAAGCACGCGCCGGGGAAACCCGAGCCGACATCTCCAGCAGCACGAGCGCGGCGATGGGGGCTGGGGTGAGGGCAGGACGGGAGGAGGAGAGAGCCGGACGCGCCTGAGTCGAACAAAGGAACTCGAACGGACGAGATCGCGATGACGCCGACTTCAACAATGAATGTATTTCTGTAATCGAGTTGATCTAATATAGTTAATTTTTGTGTAATTGGGAATTCCTTTAATTAGTACATATATAAAACCGCGCACAGCTTCTGCCACAACATCATTTTCCGTGAGTGAGGATTTCATACCGTCAGTGCGCCTTGTGCCGCGAAAGCTATTAGAAATCGCAAAACTACAGGATCTATCATTCAAGCTGCGCTTCGACAAACTGCTCATTGGAAATAAGTGCTATATTTATGTGCCTCAAACAGACTGTGTCAGAGAATTTAACTCCCACGGGTCAGATGAGAATTTACGTAGACGTAACGCTGGAATTATTAACCGTGCTTCGGCTCGTCAGCCAGAACGTGACGTCGTAAATCCTAATCGAGCTTCAGCTTCGTCATAACGTTCTATAAGGGGTGAGGCTGCTACTACCAATACTTTGCATAATAATAATATTTCTGTTCTTTTTACCAACATTACAAGCATTATGAATAAACGGGACGATCTGTCATCAGTTGTCGACTCCTCTTACGCGGATATTGTTGTGTTAAGCGAGACATGGTTGTCCAGTAAGATACGCAACTGTGGAAGTTTGCACTGTCAGAGACGTTTTCACTCCTATCGTCACGACAGGGAAGAAAGAAAGGGTGGCGCGGTGTTGGTCGCGGTACCAGAAAATCTACAGTGCTAATTACACTTCTCTATAAAGCGCCGTTCACACTCTTGCGACCGAGTACGACCGAGAAAGACCAGACCGGTCTTTAAGCCTTTTGCGACTTCTTAAGACCGGATGCGATGCAGCGGAGCTGGACTAAGAGATCGAAAGAGGCTCAAAAACCGCTCTGGTCTCTTTCGGTCGTACTCGGTCGCAAGAGTGTGAACGGGCCTTAACGCGCGAGCGTCCCGGTTTCTCCGGCGCTCTAGACTGGTAGCATTCTTGGAAACTAAGCTAGTCACGTGGCGCAACATGAAACGGCCCGCTCCAGGGGTGTCCTGCCCACTCTATCACCTTGATGAGCGATAAAATTAACGTGCTTTATGACATATTTTTGTTTTTTGATGACGACATCGTTGATGCACCTTCATGCTTTAGTTTGTTTATTGTTAGAGCAATGATGTTTGTAAAAAGCGTGCGAGCAGCCTTCCGCGTTCGCCGCCAGCTGATAGAATGAGCAGGACACCCCTCGAGCGGGCCGTTCCATGTTGCGCCACGTGACTAGCTTAGTTTCAGCGAATGCCACCAGTCTAGCGCTCCTCGGAGAAAGCCGCACGCTCGCGCGTTATAGACAAGTGTAATTAGCACTGTACCATCGTTTTATATCAATATTGTTTCTGAACTCGAGCTGCTGTGGGTTGGTCTCCAGTTCAAAAATAAAAAATATATTTTAGGTGTGTGTTATCGCCCTCCTTCTAGCAATACCGCGTTTATAACGAATCTGCACGATGTGATCAACGCAGTCATTGTTCGTTTCCCGAATGCTCCGATACTACAGTCGGGTGATTTCAACTACCCATCTATAATATGGTCAGACGAGGGTGCAAACCTCAGTCTCTTCGGAATGTAGGGAGTTTTTGAATCTTTGTTCTCTCATTACCCGTCTTCCTTGGGTTGGCCGGGCATTCCCGGGTCTTTAGAAGTGATAACTTTGAGCTAACAAAATGTCTCACAGAACATAACAAGAAAGTGCCGTTTGAATAATCTAAAAAGTACGAGAGGGCGATTCAAGGTCTGATCTACCGTATTTCCTATGATCTGTCTCTTACACAACACAGTTTGCAAATACCCTTCGATTTGAACACAAATGTCACGCACTATAAAACAGCGGCATCGCTACATTAATGAGGCACCACTGCTTCTTCGAGTCAATAGCGTAGCGATACCGGACACTCCTCTTTCATATTGCAGAAAGCACAAATAAACTACACAAAAACCGAGAAGGAGGAACTTTCTGCATTGACGGAGATTCGTTTTTTTCGAGCATACCTCGACGGGGAAAAGTTCAAGCTTTACACCCACCATGAAGTACTGACTTTTCTCCGTGGTTTGACAAAACCAATAGGGAAGCTGGCAAGAAGGATCAAATAACTACAGCAGCTTTTATTTGAATTTAACCATTGCTTTGGAAACAACATGACTGATGCTGTTGCATTGCCGCCGTTAGCAGTAGACATTCCGTCGGACGAAGATAACCTCATCAAGTTATGGGAACAAATTGAACAAGTCAAGTGCGACGAGAGCAAATACAACGTTTCACAACCCGCGCGTTCTGTCCTTGCTGAAACTCTATCACGATAGCCCAGACTAAGGGTAACATGACGGTTTTTTGCGCACTTAGAACAAGCACCTGCAAACATTTAGGTGCCATCCCGTTAAAGAAGACGCCTGCATCTATATAAAATTGTTGTCACCAAAGCCAGGGTAATAAGGTCCAGTGCAATCGGAAAACAAAGGAGATGATACTCCCAAAGTATTCCGGCACACCACTCCCAACTGTGGAATTTTAATTTGGTGAACTGTAAAGGAAGGACAAAGAGGTGCACAGAACTCAATCGTTTACAGTATATATTGTTCGGTGCCCAAGAACGATGGCCACCCGCCCTGGAAAAAAAGGCGCCAATAGCGTGATATGTCTCCTGAAACGGGATATATTGAAAAATGAGAAGACCGCCATTCCGGATAATGGTCCAGATTTCATAAGCACACGTCTTCGAGACTGTGCCCAACAGTGTCGGATCACTTTGGAATGCTCAGCCCCAAATCGCAGGGCAGCAAAGTGCATGGCAGAAACGGCCATAAAAGACGGCATAGAGCATTTAATGATGTACCCGGCCTTCAAAAGATGAATGGAAATGCTGCCTCGAGGCGGCAATCGCACACCACAACCGCTCACATAATGAAGCTCTTGGATGCAACCCACATTAAGCAATCTACGAGAAGCCCCTATGCTTTTAGCGTGCAGTCATTGGGTCTTTCTTAGGAGTTGGAGCTAAAATAATAACGCAAAGCCACGAACACGTGTTTAAGTACCGAACTAACATATCAAAAAAGAAAACTTTAACTCTCGTCACACCAAAGAGATACCTATTGTTCAGCTGAACGACTTGATCCTTGTTCGTTATTCTTGGGCATTTCTGCGTTGTAAAGACGGCCGTTCAGCAAGACATTTTGATGACCATCAGATATTCAAGCGATGATCAACAATTTGATTTTGCTACGATCGGAAATTTTCTACATTATCATCCCAGGAGGAATGACTCTCAAACTGAAGTAATGTAAGCTTGAAAAATGAACAAAAAAACAGCAAGTAATATAAACGAAAGAGGGATTTTAAATAAAACTAATGCTGATGTATTTTCTTTTTTGATCTGTCTACCTGGGATTTATATATTTCAGCACCATATTTAATAACGGCTGGGTAAACATAAATAATAATATCTACACTAGGCTTGATATAAATGCACTACAGGGCGGCAAGATGCGCCTTATATCCCTAACCCTTTTCCCGTTTATCAGAAGAGCTGCACTGTGCCAATTTTTGCACTTACAGCGTGATAGATACAGCACAAACATCAGGTCAGAGAGTTCATATGGCACCGATATATTTGCGAATATTGGCAATTTCTAGCATTGGTAAGTGCTCTTAGAATAACTCGATTGGGAATCTGTGCTCTGGTTGACCTTACAACCGTGGGCCCTGTTAGATGATCTGACTTCCTCTTTCAAACATAGATTAAAATCAACATCCCTTCCTCTTTTTTTTTAAAGATGCCAACCGGATTTCATACCTTCCCGATTGTAATATTGATTATGCCTGATAAGCGTTTGTTTTACTTTTATTGGTACTATAAGAATCTGCAGCATTTTTGCAGGCATCAGAAAAAATTAGAGGTCCGCCTGCTACTCGCAGAAACACAAGTTTCTAAAAAAAACAAAAAAAGAATATGTTAGCATTAAATAATTCGGCTCTATTTTATCAACAAAACACCAACTTGCGTTTAGATACCAAGAAAAAGTGAAAGCCGTTTACAACTCCCTGTAACACCGAATTGGAGCGCAGCTCTCGAGGAGGAGGAGGGAAGGGTACTGGGGGGTGAAGTGACCTGGGGGGGTCACGTGACCTTGGGGATTCACGTGACCATGCCGATGATGTCATCAGTGACGTCACTGATGACGTCATCGGTGACGATGACGATGCGGACTCCGATGACGTCATCAGCGATGATGACGATGACGATGCGGATGTCGGTGACGTCATCAGTGACGTCACTGATGACGTCATCTGTGATGATGACGATAACGATGCGGATGCCCCCCGAAGTCACGTGACACCCCTAGGTCACGTGACCCCCGCCGAGGTCACGTGACCTCCCCGCTGACGTCATCGTCACTGATGACGTCACCGGCATCCGCATCGTCATCGTCATCATCACTGATGACGTCATCAGTGACGTCACTGATGACCTCACCGGCATCCGCATCGTCATCGTCATCATCACTGATGACGTCATCAGCGACGTCACTGATGACCTCACCGGCATCCGCATCGTCATCCTCATCATCACTGATGACGTCATCAGTGACGTCACTGATGACGTCACCGGCATCCGCATCGTCATCGTCATCATCACTGATGACGTCATCAGTGATGTCACCGGCATCCGCATCGTCATCGTCATCCTCACTGATGCCGCATCGTCATCGTCATCATCACTGATGACGTCATCAGTGACGTCACCGGCATCCGCATCGTCATCGTCATCATCACTGATGACGTCATCAGTGACGTCACTGATGACGTCATTAGTGATTATGACGATGACGATGCGGAGGCCGGTGACGTCATCGATGGCGTCATCGGGGAGGTCACGTGACCTCGGCGGGGGTCACGTGACCCTGGGGGTGGTCACGTGACCTGGGGGTGTCACGTGACTTCGGGGGGGGGGGGGTCACGCGACCTCGGGGGTCACGTGACCAGGGGGGTCACGTGACTTTGGGTGTCACGTGACCTTGGGGGCCACGTGACCTTGGGGGTCACGTGACCTTGGGATGACCTTGGTTACGCCGACGCCGACGCCGACGCCGCTCAAGCCGGGAACGGGCCCCTAAGAGCTGCGCTCTAAAAAGATGTAATTTCACGATTTAACGATTCCGCAGGCATGGCAATAATATTCAAGTTACTTTATTCATAGCATTCCCGGGACAACTCGTTGTTAGAATTAATTAGAGCCGAAAATCGAAATGATAATTACTGCCTAATACCAAAAGTATATAAAATAAACAAATGTCATTGTGTCCCTTGCGGTACATCCAGGCCCACAAAAATGATTTATGTGACTTTGCATATTAGAAAATTGCAGGTGAGAATGTGCCTGGGAGAAAATACGATCGTTGCACATGTTTTAGTACGCGAAACATCAGCAACTCTGCCCTGTTGCCGGTATAGCATAGCAAGACCAGAGCCGTTTATCGAGAGAGTTTGGCCATACATTGGTTTGAATGGGCGAGCATCTCGGGGCCAATCACATGCCGCGAAACAGCCCCTAGCGGTGGTCGTGAACTCTAAATTTGTGACACGACTAATTCAAGCCGTTTTAGCGTCGCTAGAGTTAAAAGGTGTAACTCTCAGTGACTGATAACTTTGTGCGTGCGAGGTTTTCGTCACGCCAATATTCAAGTGTAGAATAAACGAACGTGCGCTCCAAACCAGGGCCAACTTGCTAGAAACAGCGTCTCAGCTTATACGGGGAAAGAAAGCTCTAACAAAGCCAGCGCACGAGCCGAGCGGGACTCCGCGTCTCCAGACGCTCGCGCGCCCCACCCTTTGCACTGTTTTCTTTCCGCCAGTCACAGGACGCTGTTCTATCAAGCAAACATCAGCAGTGCAGAGAAAGGCATGGGCACGAGCGCGTGGCTTTGGAAAGTGGCTCCTATGCACGAGTTCTCGTACAAATAAAAGCATTTCGCTGAGCTAGCTTCATGCGCCTGTACCTTTGTCTTCACTGCCGACATTTGTGAGATGGAGCAGAGAGGCCGAGATTGAACGCCTCTATTTCACGCTTTGAATGTCGTTTGCAATATTGTGACGTCGCGGTCTCCTGATTGGTCGACGCTGTGTCACAAATTTAGTTTACGCTCTAAGCGCGGGGGGAATATTCGGCGCTGGCGGCGGCCTTTGCTCCGCCTATTGGCCAAACTCTCCCAATACACGGCTCTGAGCAAGACAAACCTCCAACATTGCTTTTCGCTCGCGATGAATGGTGGTTTTCTCCTCTCCACTCTTCTTCTTTCCACTCGCCTCTTCTCTCATGTTCATTCCGATAAAGCGGAGAATTTAGGGCATTGTGGAAGAAGTTCGTGCTGCTAGTCTGAGCCTGTGACAGATTATAGAAGTACGCGTATTCTTTTTACCAAGAATATTGTAAAGTGCAATTCCTAACCTATAACTTCACGCGAAGCAAGAATGATTTTTGTGTGCGCCAATACCTTCGCATATGTGCTTGCTAATCATAGACATAAAATACTATAACTTTTTAGTGTCGTGCAGCTTTTATCTTCGTCCGTGTCCAATCCCACTCTATCAATATCAATACTTATCAACTCACCTAGTCAAATATCTTACTTGTATAAGAAATATCTCGATCCAGTAAGCGCATAGGATCAAAGGAGATAATTTAAGAGCATAAAAGAACGTTATACAAACATACAAGAAGATATAAGAAGTTTTTGTATTAACTTCTTATAGACTGATATTTTTTAAATATTCTAACACGGTTCTTTTAAGTTATTATACAATCTTTTTCGATCACATGCTTTGATCGGACCAAGACATTTCTTATACAAGATATTTGACTATGACTGCCCAGCTATCAATTCTATTAAACTATAATTTTTTTCTAGGCAAACCGCGTGCTATGAAAATAGTACCGTTTTCCTGGTGAGTTGGGAAGACAACCTTGTTAGAAGGCATGAGCTTGTCGCGGTCTTCTCTGAAATAAGAAACAGCTGTAGCCCAAAAACGACAAAGATTGTTTTTTTTGTATTATTATTTTTTTTTTATATTTAGGCACCTAGCATGCCGCCCTTACCTCCGTACTCGGCCGGTATGCGGTGTCCAGGAGATAGTTCCCCGCCACAGAAAAACCTTCGGGCTCCAAATATTTGGTGATGAAGTCGTGGGCTTTCTTCTCCTTGAAGGCAAGCTCCGGGTTGTCCCACAGATATTGGCCCAGTTCGTTGAGTGCATCTGCCTTTTCGTTTATCGTATCGCTTACGAGCTTGATGTAGTCGTCGCTCTTTGTATAAAAATCTAAAATAAAATAAAATAAGCCTTACAGTTTCTTCTATTACAAAGCTCTGGCTCCAATTTACTACAAACTAGACATTCTTCTCATTGGTGTTCGTGCTTGATTGGAGTCATAATTGTATAGCTGATGTTCCGCGTGCAGTGGCATTCGTCATAGTTAAATATTACTGACCTCCAATCCGTACACATGGTTCGTTAAATTACTTAAGGTGGAAAATATATTTCTAATCAATGCCCCACATCGAAGAAATTTCTATATTATACTAAATTTGTATAACTTGTATAAATATTCTGGAAGCAACGGCGGCATTATTTTTAATTTCACCATAGGTGCTTCCGCAGCCGATGCTCCATATCGATGAGTCCAATCAAGGAGTTCCAAACGCGGAACGTCATGGCGTTTGCGTAGTTATGTACCTGCGCTATCATCGCTTGAATCGAAACTGAAGCGGTTCTGCATTTGAGAAAAACATATAAAGCTTGCATCTTCTTCATGTGGCCAGCCGGATCACAAATATTGATATTATATTTCCGATTGTCTCGCCAAGCAGCCATAACAGCACTTTCGAAATAGCCCGGTGCTTTAGGTGGAAGGAAGGAATCGTGACGTATTATACAGAAATTGCAACATTTACGCGCCTTCCGCAAGCCTTACAGTCGACATAAAAACGTGAAAGCCGTTTACAACTCCCTGTAACGCCGAATTGGAGCGCAGCTCTTGAGGAGGAGGAGGAGGGACGGGTACTAAGGGGAGGGTAGACCCCTCCTCCTCCTCCCCTCATTCTTGAATATGCTCCGGTGGGTCACCTGACCTCGGGGGCAGGGGGTCACGTGACTTCGGGTGGGGGGTCACGTGACTTCGGGGGGATGGGGGTCACGTGATCTTGGGGAGGAGGGTCATGTGACCTCGGGGAAGAGGGTCACGTGACCTCGGGGGGGGTTTACGTGACCTTGGGTGTCACGTGACCCTGGGGGAGGGGTCACGTGACCTTGGGGTGACCTAGCTGGGTCACGTGACCTTAGGAGGACCTTGGGGGTCACGTGATCTCGCGGTTACGCCGACGGCGACGCCGACGCCGCTCAAGCCGGAAACGGGCGCCTAAGAGCTGCGCTCTAAAAACTCCGCTACCGTTCCATCTCAAGCGACAGGCGCAACGTAGTCCAAACTAGTTGAAACCTCTGGGTTTCAACCCAGTGGTTGGTTTTTGGGGCTTTCTCGCGTCGTTCGATATCTTCGGGTCAAATGTTAAATGTGATCGGGATACGGAGGGCTCCCCGAGAGCGCATGGCACGAGAGCGCTGACCTACAGCTGCAGTCACTAAGGTGCCCAAGCAGCACATTATGACCGGCTCAAGCTTGAGCCAGACTGCGCAGCCGGGGAAGTTTCACTGGGCCTAGATTGTTTTGCCCCATGGCGCTAGGTAGCCCCATCCTGGTATACCAGTCTGGCACCACCGGCAGTTCCCTGTATAGCCATGGACTGGCTCACTGCTGGAATTACGGCCTGGGCCAGGCTGGCATTTCCATGGTCAGCCAAACTTGGCAGAACGGTCTAAATGCAGCCTGGGCCATGCTGGCAGTTCAGTGGTCAGTCAAGCTTGGCGAAACGGTGTAAATGCAGTGTGGGCCAGGGTGGGAGTTCTCTGGTCATTAAATCTTGGCTATACGGGGAATTTACAGACTACTCCCAAGGAAGCCTATGTTGTCATTCAAAGGTCGTTTTTGTGGCATATAGCCCAGCAACATCTCCAATTTTCGGTGCTGTGTGCAGAAAAAACTCGTTGCTACTTTGTTTGGGATTTAGTGCCTCACGAATAATAAAGCTGCTCAGTAATTTTTGTGCGAGCTGTTGTATTTATTGTGTGGTCGGCATGCAAATGAAGCTGCTAAATTGAATCAAGTTCGATAGAGTCGTTTTTTATTTAATGTTCAGTACATGGTGCTGGCTTATGCCCCAAGTCCCACTACAGCAACGAACAGAAACAAACGACAGCGACAAGCCTCAAACCTGAACTGCCATTCACACATATGCAGCCGACTAAGACCGAGAGGGACCAGACCGGTTTTTACGCCTCTTGCGACGTCTTAGGACCGGATGCGCTGCAGCGGAGCTGGTCGTAAGACGTCGGAAGAAGCTTAAAACCCGGTCTGGTCTCTCTCGGTCTTACTCGGTTGCATATGTGTGAACGGCGCTTTAGTCTTTTGCGATTCGACAGGCTTTGTAGAATAAAAAAGCCTATGCTTAAACACAAGCATCATGCATGCGAGGGTATCTTTGGCAGGCTTACAATCACTCGTGCTTATTTCGTGAGCACCAAACGAATGAACGCCTGCCAGAGGTATCATCAAGGGCATGTTGATGGGTTGGAGGCTCATCCGTGTCGTTTATTTCTGTTTGTCGCGCTAGTAAGACTTGGACATAATGCCTGAGTCTCACTAGAGCGACAAAGGCTGGATGCTGGATAAGGCAGGCAGCTGGTCGAGTGTGTGCTGCCTGGTAACTGGGCTTCACAGCTAGCAGGTGGCTCTGCCGATCCGAGTCGATGGTTCACCCCATGGCCACTTCATGGCTGTGACGTAGAGCTGGATAGCAGCACCTGGAGAAGGAACAGGATAAACAGTGATGCATGTTTAGTAAATATGTTTTGCATGAATTATAAATCATGCTCCTAATTAAATTAAAACACAACGGAAAGGCTACCCAAATGGTCTTGGGGGTATTTTCAGTCTCCTTCAATATAAAAAAACCTACTGAAAGTACGTGGCTGAGATGGCAGTGGTGGGAAGAGCTATGTGCGCTCCGTGTGATTCAGTTCTGCCCCGAGGGAAGGACTCTCACTCAAGGCTTAGCTGGTTCTGAACTTGCGAACAGCTTTTGGTTTAGCCAAAGAGTGCGCTTCATCGGCATCACGCCCAGAGATATGGTCACGAAGGCTCAAAGCAAGCAATGCTAATCACTGTTTTTTGTTATCAGTTGTTTCTGGTATAAAATTATAGAACAGGCACTGCCAAATAAACAAATGTTAAAGTTACGTCCGAGTCTCATTTTTGAAAAAAAAAAGTTTGGTGAAGAGCGCATTCATTAATTAGAAGGATGGCACGGACCTTGCACTTTAACGGTCAAAATCATTGCCTTGACTCTGGCCAGTCTCTCTCGGACAGTAGTTTCTGACTCAGTAGCCGTGACATTACGCTGATGAACTGCTCTCCACCGTGAAACCGAAAACTAATAAGCGTGTGTTGCACTTCAGCTGAGCCCCGAGTGAGTCCTCCCCTTGGGTAGATTGGAATCACCCAGAGCGCACAAAGCGCCTCTCCCAGCCACTGCCTCGGCGAGGCGCTCCCATTGGGGCTTTCATATTGCAGGAGACTACATAACGGAGGAACTACAGAAGTCGACAGTGACAAGCACAGTTTCCGTCTATGTAGTATACTAATGCCACTACATGCAAAGTAAAAGCCAGATAGAGCGCCTCAGTGTGAACACCACCGATAACATGCAGTACTGTGGAAGGTTCCTCAGATCATCTGAAAGCAAATTTTGAATTGCCGCAAGGTAAAATTTGTTTGTTTCTCTAGATAGCAAAACCGAGCCGTAAGCACACTTCCACTATAAAGACAATGTTTTCTATGCTTTCTTTTAAGATGCATAGAAGTGCTTTTTGATATTTATGTGGCATACCTATAAAATTTCAATATAAAGTGGTGCCAACTTCCACTGACAGCCCTGAAGCTATAAAACCACAAAAACCGAATTCCCCAGTAATTAAAACGCAACAACAAAAAATCAGATCAGAAAAACATTCAGTCTGACTTAGGTATATTGAATCAATAAATACAAAGAATTCTAGCCATATTCTTGTGAAAATGTATTTTAAAATGTCAATATAAAATGGAATCAGACATATAATGCTGGAGTCCTACTAAACCCCGACCAGACTTCAGTACATTCAGCATGCACACGAAGATACCTTTGGCAGGCTTGCCATTTTTCGGGGCTCATGAAGTAAGCACAAGTGAAAACAAGCCTGCCAAAAGATATCTTTGTATGCATGCTACATGGTCTTGGGGCTTAAGATGCCAAGTTGGGCAATCGGTTATTCATCACTGAATAATATGCCAAAAAAACACTGACAAAACGAAGGAAGATCTGGACAGGACACGGCACAACTTTCAACTGAATGGTTCATATAAAAAAAGAAATACATATAGACCCTTTCAGGCAACATTTCATGGGCGCTGCCATCTTGAAGTCACGTGACCCTGCCGCCATAGCCGACCTTCAGTTTCTCGCAGTTGCTCCGAGTTGTGTGCTGCATCGGCCACCACCGGAGCTTTGTTTTCGAGTTCTTTTACGGTCCGCGTTGAAATCGTGTCTTTTCTTTAGATCGTTTCGATATTTCGGGCTTTATTTAATCATTTGATATCTATATTTGAACATAGCCCTTGTATTTTCGTATTTATAGAATGGAATCGGACAGCGAATCGATCGACGATACAAGATTATGGCCTAGGCTTCAGAGACCATTAAGTTTATCACATTTTATTGTTTTTTTCGCTAATCAAGGGCAGTCAACACCACTGCGACACAAAAATTTCAACTGAGGCAGTAAGGCTACCGCAGTCGTGCTTCTCGCTGCATGTGCGCGCTTTAGACATTGTTTCCGTAAGTAAAAGTCGAACCGCATGTAAGCACTCTCGCGAACAGCGAGACGAGCGACAACGATGAGAGTCGACGACGAAGATTTCTCACTGTCGCCCGTCGCATTGCTCGGTTTTTGGATTTCTAGAAACGTCGCTCATTGTCTTGGTCGCTTGCTCCCGTCGCTTCCATGCGGTTTGCCTCGTCACGCAACTGATCGAGCGACAGCGAAGCGAGTCGCCGTCGCTTGTCTCATCGCTCGCCAAGTTGCTTGCGTGCGGTTTATACTTAATTTCGATGCAGCACTGAACCATTGGCGCCTCAATATTAAGTATAAACTGCATGCAAGCGATTTGGCGAGCAACAAGACAAGCGACGGCGACCCGCTTCGCTGTCGCTCGGTCAGTCGCACGAGAAGGCAAACCGCATGGAAGCGACGGGAGCAAGCGACCAAGACTATGAGCGACGTTTTCCAGAAATCCAGAAGCCGAGCGCCGCGACGGGCGACAGTAGGAAATTTTTGTCGCTGACTTGTCGCTCGCTAAA